ATTGGGTGTTTACAGTGAAGTATAAGTCAGATGGGACAGTTGAGAGGTACAAAGCTAGACTAGTTGCCAAGTGATACACTCAGACTTATGGGATTGATTATCAAGAGACCTTCGCTCCTGTGGCCAAGATGAACACTGTTCGAGTTATACTTTCTCTCGTAGTTAATTTGGACTGGCCATTACAACAGTTTGATGTGAAGAATGCCTTCCTTCATGGTGATTTGATAGAGGAGGTGTATATGGATCCTCCCCCGGGGTTTACACCTGAAGGAGGTAAGGTATGCAAGCTAAAGTAGGCTTTATATGGGTTGAAACAATCACCAAGAGCATGGTTTGGGAGGTTGAGCTACTCAATGAAGAAGTATGGTTTTAAGCAAGCTTTGGTAGATCACACTCTCTTCTATAAAAGGAATGGTGATGATATTACTTTGCTTATCGTTTATGTGGATGACATGATTGTTACAGGTAGCAACACCAATGAGATAGAGAAGCTTCGGAGCTATTTGGCCAAGGAATTTGAAATGAAGGACTTGGGGGTTCTGAAATACTTTCTGGGCATTTTAGTGTCTCGGTCCAAGCAAGGACTTTTTCTCTCTTAACGAAAGTATACATTAGATCTCTTATTAGCTGAAACTGGTAACTCTGCGTGTGTTCATATAGACACTTCTATTAAAGTAAATCATAGCTTAGCTATCTATCCTGATCAGATTCCGACAAACAAGGAGGGATATCAGAGACTAATGGGGAAGTTGATCTATCTGACTCACACTAGGCCTGACTTGTCGTATGCAGTTAGTGTTGTGAGTCAATTCATGAACAATCCAAGTGACCGACACATGAATGCAGTGAATCATATTTTGGCTTATCTAAAGTCCTCTGCAGGTAAAGGTGTTATGTTCTCCAGGGATGGACACCTAGACATTGTGGGTTATACAGATTCTGATTTTGCGGGAGCCAAGTTGGATAGGAAGTTTACTTCAGGGTATGTGTCATTCGTTGGAGGCAATTTGGTGACCTGAAGGAGTAATAAACAGAATGTGGTATTGTTGTCTAGTGCAGAAGCTTAATACCGTGCTCTTCATCATGCAATTACGGAGCTTACAGGGTTGAAGATTCTCTTAAGTGAGCTTGGGTTTGGTCCAAAGAAGCCTATATTGATTTTTTGTGATAATACGGCAGCTATTGATATTGCTAATAATCCAGTGCAACACGATCGAACTAAGCATATTGAAATTGACGGAAACTACATCAAGGATAACCTGGATTTTGGTGTGATAGAGGTTCCTTACATTAAGAGTGCGAACAAGCTGGCTGATATGATGACTCATGGTGTTACTAGTGACTCATTTCATACATCACTATCCAAGTTGAGCATGTGCGATATCTATGCACCAACTTGAGGGGGAGAGTTAGCGTGTATAGCTGAATGTACAGCTGTTATCTATTAAGAGTTACAGCTGTTATCTATTAATAGTTACAGCTGTTATCTATTAGGAGTTAGTGTGTATTAGTTGTCAAATGAATTGTATAGTTGACTTACCTTGAATAGGTCTGTGTATTCTGTATAAATACCCTTGAGATATATGAAAGATAAATAACTTTTTTTGCCATTTATCTATTGTTTCAGCATTAGGCTATTATGATTGGATAAAGGATTTTGGAAAAGATTTTAGACGTCAGAAAAGGAATTTGAAGATGCTGGAAATTATTATTATTATTATTTTCAGCTAGAAATGTTGAGGATATTGAAAATTCCTCCAGTAATGCCGGAAAGGATTTTAGGACCCCCAATACATTTTTTTTTTTTTTTTTTTTGATAAGTAAAGGACCCCCAATACATATTAATCCCACCACTGTATGTCTCATAAAAAATTCCTTGAAACAAGAGATACAAATGAGAGTAGCAGTTGTGAAGTTTTAGGGTTGGATACATGGAGAGTGGTAATATCTAAAGACCTAGAGAGGGTTAGCGTGTATACTTTGAATTTTTTATTTTTTATTTCTTATCAACCTTAAAAAACATTTTTTGATAAGTAAGATTTCATTAAAGGAAAAAACCGCCCATGGCGACACTATAACTTCAAACTATCCCAAATCCAAAAAAATGTCCATAGATATACAATTCCGCCCAGATATACAATTCCGCCCATAAACCCAAAAGAATAAAAAAGACATTATATTGTATTTGAGAGTCCAAATAAGAGACTCTTCACCATCAAAGGGCCTCCTATTTCTCTCGCGCCACAAAACCCACCATAAACAAAGGGGTGTGGACCTCTAAGCATCTCTAACTGAGCTCTCCACTATACACCCTTTCCAAGCCTCTAACATGTCTACCGTGGTTTCCGGAGAAACCCAAGCCAGGCCAAAAGCAACCAAGAACATAGACGACAAGTCCCTCGCTAAATGGCAATGAAGCAGAAGATGGTTCAACTTCTTACACATTCAACACCAGTTTACCACAATTTGTCGTTGCCTTCTAAGGTTATCACGAGTGATGATACTTCCCTCCAAGGGCAGCAGACCAAGTAAAGAAAGCCACCTTCAAAGAGTCTTTCATCCTCCAAATTGCTTGCCAATGGACAAGTGGGGCCAGGAATCTACATCAGGATCTGGTAGAAAGACCTAACCTCAAAACCCCTCTCGATGATCCTGCCCAAACCATCTTGTTCATACCTACACCCTCCACCACCTGTCTATAAATCAAAGCGAGAAAGTTTGTGACCTCCATAAGCTCCCAATCATGAAGCTCCCTACGAAACTGCACATTTCAAGTCACCCTCCCATTATCCAGCCAATAATAGTCAGCAACCACAACGTTCACAAAAATCCTGCAAAGTCGAGGAAACCTGCGAGCCAAAGTAAAATCCCCACCCCATCTGTCCTCCTAAAATCTGACATGCCTCCCACTCTGGACTCTAAATCGGATGATTTTGGAGAACTCATCCCATCCCTTCCGAATGAGCTTCCAAGACCCCATGCCCGCTAGAGTTCTCGCCTCCCTAGATTGCCACCCTCCATCTCCCTCCCCATAGTGAAAGGAAATGACTCGCCTACAAAGTTTGGTCCGCTCGCCCTCCAAAGCCATTTGCCCAACAAAGCCTTATTGAATAAATCCATCCTTCGCACTTATCAAAAAAAGAAAAAAAAAATCCATCCTTCAGATCCCCAAGCCTTATTCACAAATCAACCTTACAAATTTAATCCAATCAATCAAGCACTTAACCATGCAAACAATCAGACATGTAAAGTAAAAAGCAAGAAAGGACTAAAACCAGAATTTTTGTATGAAAACCCAAAATGGGAAAAATCATAAGATCTCTTTCAGAGCAAACCAATCCTGATACAAATAAGAGGTTGCAATCCAGAACCATGACTTGATTTTATGCCTGTTACAATTCCTCAAAACTCAGTTACTATCGAAACCTCAGGTTAAAGTCTTTTATCCCAAGAGCGTAGGTGCTGCAGATTCGCAGAAGCCTCGTTAACGCCAGAAAATTACAATCTCATTTTCTGAACCGTTAACACAATTGCTCCATGTCGTCCTTTTTCTAAAGTGATTCAACACTATCGTTCACAACAACATTTTCAATTTCCAAAGGCACGATAATGTAGGGTGGGTAGAACAAATTAGTAACGTTTACAACTAAGTAATTGACCTAACCATAAACTCTCAATCTCTTTTGAAGTATATAGCTCTATGTATGTGTCTCTTTATATCTCTCTTTCTATCATGAAAAACAATAAGAAAACTCATATCTTTAGTGTCCAAACAAATATGAGGCAAATTAAAGTTGGATTCGGAAAAAACTCTTAAATATCTCAATTTCCGACTCATCTACTAGTACAGACATTTTCTACATACATAACCCTCTACTGAAACTTCTACAGGTACAAAACCCTTACAACATGTACCATACATCTACCAGCACATAATTTCTGCGCATCACATAGATGCACTCTATCTTAATCTTGAGCTCTAAAATGACTTTTCAAGTTCCAAAAATCAAATTAACCCTAACTCATTTTAATCAAGTCTATAGCCTCAAAGACCACATAATAAAGATAGTCTAATCCATCCATTAACCGTCTTAAATTCTAGGTTCTCTAAAGGTATTACTAACATTTGCTTTTCCCTAGTTGGTATTACTAACATTTACTGAAGTGTATATAGAAATGGTGGAGCAAACCATTGAAATCTACACAATTCCATATTCGACAATCAATCTTAATTTATAGCGTATAGAACCTTGGCAAGTTGAAATAGACCAGATATTCGAGACATATTGTTTAACATTTGCATGCTTTCGTGTTATGGAAATTGCCAACACACTAATATATTTCTTAACATCAAGAAAGGCTCTTAGGCACTCCCAATGTAGCAAAAGAACCCATTTCTCTTTCTCTCTCTCTCTACATACACACACACACACACATGCATATACTAGTACATAATATGATAATATATATGACTTCCCCATTTTTCTTTACCCTTTCCTTTGATTGCGTAACCCCTAGGATAAAGGTTTCATATAACTACAGAAGCTTTGGCTTCAGTTATTTCTTAGAGATCAAAACCGGGTCATGAAAGACTTTAATCTCGTTCATTTAAGTTACATCACATATGGACAATAAGAAAGTACAGATAAAGTTTTTGTATAACTCAATTACAGATATTTCAATGCAGGGATTTGAGACTATTCATGTCAAATATGGTAAACAATTAAAAGATTTCGATTCAGATGCTCCTGAGAGTACAATTTTACTTCAAACTTTGAGCATGTAATGTGAATTAAACAATATTATTTTAACATGCAATGTGTGTCCCAATGGTAAGAGTGCAATGATTGTGGAAGAAAATATAGAGTTAACAAGTCATTGATTACAAGATGTAGATGTTAATAAGGGATGATTTTTTATCTTGTAGGTCTACAATGCATCTGGGTTAGATCATCATGCAAAAAGAGAGGTATGATCATCCAGCATGTGCACGTGCTTACACTTGGAGAGCGAGAGGGAGAGAGGAACCTCATTCTGCATGCTCTCAGAGGGAAACCAGTGCATGAGAACTCCCAAGTGCATCACAGCAGGTATCAATTTGAACAGGACGGGAGTCGTTACCTGTAACATCATTGACCGGGATAAGCCTTGTATAAAAAATAAAAAAAGGCTTCAGATCCAGTTACAATGTATAAGAAATTACCAGACTTAGAGCTGTAGTTCCAAGAAGAAGAAGGTACATCTTCCCCTAAACAACAAACCAAATCTTAGTTAATAAGCAAGTAATAAAGCTTATTATAATAAGTAAACAAATGGAACACATTTGATAAGTAAAAAAGCATGGCATATAAAAATCAATTCATATTCACAACCAGATAATACTGAAACTAAAATAGGAATACCGACGTCAATTTTAGATCACAAATTGCTGTGTTCATAATGTTTTCTGGTAATTTTAAAACGAACTCATTAGAATTGTAGAGTTGGCTCCTCACCGATAAATCCTAATCCTATGAATCCTGCTATATAGGATTAAACTTGTCTAGAGGAGTTTGATGGGAGATGGATCAGTGCATGTTGTAATGTTAGAATTATTAGGATTCTAGTAATGTGTGGGCAAATTTCATAGGACAAAACTCACTTAATGAAGTGTAATTAATATACCTTTGGTAAGTGATTGAGAATTAGGTAGTTAGATGGAATTAAGTGTGTGAAGACAACACTTGGTGAAGAAAGCTACAAGGACAAGAATGTCAAAGATCATCTACAAAGGTCAAAGATTTCATCATCTCAAATCTGAGGTTAAGAAGGTAAAATCACACTTGTTATCATCTATCACCATCTAGGTTCATGCATTAAATCTGAAATTACATCTAGAATCTATCTATATATTTTTATAAATGCGATATAGGAAAAACATGTTTTTACACATGTCTATGTTATATATATGTTAAAATTAAGATTCTAAAGCTTTCTCTTAGATATATATATATATATATATATATATATATATATGTTGAAAGAGAGAGAGAGAATATATATGAAAACGTATATATTATTGAGTAAGTAACACAAAAATACATTGGTTTTCATATAGGAGAAGATATAGGAGTAGGTAAATGGAGAACAAGTAAACCCTATACATGATAATGCTATATATGGTAATGAGGGGTAGGTGAAAGCAGCTACAGAATACAAAAAAACCCTAGTATGCAATGTAATATGTCTGTACACGTGTGACAGCTCATACAATACTGTACAACACTCCCCCTCAAGCTGGAGAGTGAATGTCAATAACTCCAAGCTTGCTACATATGGAATCAATAGAGTTCTTGGGAAGCGCCTTAGTGAAGATGTTTGTTGTCTGCCAGAAGGAACAAAAGGTGTAACATGGTAGACTAGATTGCTAGCAATATGAATAGCTGCCTGTTTGTCAAAATGGAGAGGAATTGGGTGCTGGATTGAAATCCCAAGTTCCTATAAAAGAGTCTTCAACCAAGTTCGTTCACAGGTAGTGTGCGCCATGGCACGATACTCTGCTTCAGCATTGGAACGAGCCACAACTAATTGTTTCTTACTCCTCCAAGTTACTAAATTTCCTCCTATGAAGGTGTAGTAACCCGTGGTGGACCGTCGATCAGAAGGAGAACCGGCCCAATCTGCATCTGTGTATCCCTCAATCCGAAGATATCCAGAAGATTGATAAAGCAGACCACATCCCGGAGCACCCTTGAGATACTTCAAGATGCGTACAACTACCTCTATGTGAGGTACTCGAGGACTGGTCATGAATTGACACTACATAGGAGATGTTTGGATGAGTGATTGTGAGGTAAATAAGTTTACCTACAAGTCTCCGATACATCTCTGGATCATCGAGTCGGTCCCATCATCCATCATTAGTTTTACATTAGTCTCCATGGGTGTAGCTACAGGTTTTGAACCAAGCTATCCAGTAAACAGTAAGAGATCAAGAGTATACATGTGCTAAGAGAGACTATGCCTTGCTTCGACCGAGCCACCTCAATTCTTATAAAATACCAAAGTTTGCCCAAATCCTTACTAAGGAAGCTAGAACTCAAGTGATAGATTAAAACTTGTATCCCATCTTTGTCACTGCCGATGATGCAGCTATCATCTACATACACCACAAGAATCACAATACCATGTTTCGCTTTCTTAAAAGAGAGAGTGTGATCAACCTGGCTTCTGGTCCTATCATAAGCTACCACTGCTTTACTGAACTTATCAAACCATGCACGAGGGGACTGTTTGAGGCTATAGATAAACTTCATGGGATGACACAAACACTCCCCCTTAAACTCAAACCTGGGTGGTTGAGACATATAGACTGTCTCAGTAATGTCACCGTGAAGGCAGACAATTTTTACATCAAGTTGATGAAGTGGCCAGTCTATCTTAGCTACAAGAGAGATTATCACACGAACAAAATTCAGTTTGGCCATAAGAGTGAACGTCTCAGTATAATAAAGGCCATAAGTCTGAGTGTAGCCTTTAGCAACAAGTCAAACTTTAAGACGGTCTACAGTACCATCTAAAGGCTGAAAATCCAACGACAACCAACAACCTAAGTATCAGCAGGTTTAGGAACAAGGTCCCAGGTATGATTCAATTTTAAAAGGTTTCTTTCTTCTTCCATAGCTTTCCTCCACGATGGATGAGGAAGTGCCTCCCTATAGGACTTAGGAAGAGCAATAGAGAATAACAACAAAGAAAAAGCTTGAAAGAAGGGAGGACAATTTATTATTTGATACAAAATTGGAAATAGGGTGATTGGTACAAGACCGTCTACTTTTAAACCTGAAACCGCCACAAGAGAAGACGCCTCCTGAACCTCCCCACAGGAACAAGCACACTCTTACCCACGTTGACTTTCAAACCTGAGACTGCCTGAAAGCAAACCAGGACACATCTCAAATATCTCAGTTGGGACACATCTACCTCACAGAAAACCAAAGTGTCATCCGCGAAACGCAGGTGAGAGATCTCCAACTGCTAAACTAAATCTGGAACCCCTCTCGTCAACCTACTAAGAGTCTCCATAACAATAATGAATAGGAAGGGGGAGAGTGGATCCCTTTGCCTCAAACCATGAGAACTGCCAAAAAAACCCAGATGGAGACCCATTCACCAACACAGAAAATCTGACAAAGGAAACACACGCGTTGATCGATCTCCTCCATCTCTCTCTGAAACCCATCCTCTCTAACAGATAATACAAAAAATTCTAGCAAACATGATCATAAGCTTTCTTAATATCAAGCTTACACAAAACTACAGGAACACCGCTACTGAGCCTATAATCCACTCATTTACGGGCAATGAGAGCGGAATCCAGGATCTGTCTGCCCCAATGAAAGCATTTTGAGATTCAAAGATGACTCCGTCCAGAACCTCCCTCAATCTTAACGCAAGGACTTTAGGGATAAGCTTATAGATACACCCAATCAGACTTATTGGTCTAAAATCCTTAACGTCAGAAGCACCACCCTTCTTAGGAATTAGAGTAATAAAAGATGCATTCAGCGACTTTTCAAACCTCCCATTAGAATGGAACTCATGAAAAGTGCCCATAACCTCCTGTCTTACCACCTTCAGCTCTCCAATAAAAACCTCATTGTGAAACCATCCGGACCTGGAGCTTTGTCACCATTACAACTCTTCAAAGTCTTCAAAACCTCCTCCTCTGTAAAAGGACTCTCTAACCCATCCCTATCCACAGACCACAGCTGATATAGAGTCAAAATGAAGGCCATCGAGCCGTGGCCTCCAACGTAGAGGCTCATAGTAGAGCCTCTGGTAGAAAGAAACGATCCCCCTACGCACCTCCTCCTCCGTACTCAACACCGTTCCGTCTACACAAGTCCGCCCAATATGATTACCCCTCCTATGGGCATTAGCAGTTCTATGAAAAAAAATTGTATTTCGGTCTCCCTCTTTAAGCCATAAAACCTGAGATTTCTATCGCCACGAAATTTCCTCCATAACAGCAATCTCTGCCTGACAAGCTGCTCTCCTATCATATTGAGACTCAACAATACCACCCACCCCTTCCAATCTATCAATCTCAGCAATATTTGCGAGAGCCTTATTCTTCCTCCACTCTAGATTATCGAACACCTCCTTGTTCCATCTTTTGAGTTTGTTCTTCAAGAGTCAAAGCTTTCCTGAGACAAAATAAAACTCGACATTCCCACCACCATATCCTCCTCCCACCAAGACTGCACTTTCCCTTGAAAATCAACCACTCTAAGCCAAATGTTCTCAAATCTGAATGGAGTACAACGAGGTCTCAATCCTCCACAATCCAAAACCAAAGGAATATGGTTCGACGGCACCTTAGCAAAACAGCTTGAACTGCGTCCGAAAACTTCTCCTCCATCACCCTAGAAATCAAGAATCTATCTAGGCTGGAAAGAGTAGGCACCTCCCTACCACTAGACCATGTAAAAGTAGCTCCCTCTAATGGAAGGTCTATAAGCTGATGTTCATCAATAAACTCCGAAAATTGCATCATAGCCAGAGTCCATCGACCACCTGTAGATCTATATGACAGGGACCTAACCACATTAAAATCCCCGGCCACACACCATGGAAGAGACCACAACCCCTTCACCACACTAAGTTCCTCCCACAGCGTAAGCCCCTCACAATCATCCACCGGCCCATAAACGCCAGAAAAAACCGAAGAAAAGCCATCCTCCATCACAAAAGCACAAGATAAGGACAATCGCCCTCTCCGAATATCCACCCTTGCCATCCATCTCCTATCCCACGAGAAGAATGCCTCCAGAGGCCCCTGAAGAATCCAAAACTCCCACTCAACGAACCTACTTCCCCAAAGGCTCTTAACCACTCTATCGGTCATTGAATTAATCTTCGTTTCTTGAAGGCACACCAAATGAACCCCTCATTTTCTCACTGCCAACTTCACCACCATCCGCGGACATTCCAAGATAAAATTCTTAGCTTCATGAGGAAACATTAACACCACCTCTCCCTTACCCCTCCTTCCCCCCTTAGCACTGCCCGTTTTCTTCTCCCCCTATCTTCCTTTCATAGTTCACGTCTAAACAATGATTTCTCAGCTCCCTCTCCCTTCTCCAAGAGGGGGGATTCTTTTTCCTTCTACTCCCCCTTCTAGAGATCTTTGCATCTCCCCTTCTCTCCCCTCCACCGTAGCATGAAGAATCGATAACGCCTGGTCCCGATTGCCCTTGCAAGAGA